CGCAAAAAAGCAGTTTACAGAAGCAGAAGCAGCATGTTATCTAAATCACAGTTTTTGGGTCTCCGGGAACACTGTGTCAACAGGGACATGTTAACTGGAGCCCTCTCACCTTGGGATAATTGTGCTGTTCTTCCCAGGTAAAGGAATATGTGCTTTCTAAGAGCAGTATGATTCACATTACAACCAATAGGGTATTCAATCAAATGGGATGATTTATATAATTCAGAAAATCAAAATAACTTTTCTATTGTTAAACAAAGCAAATAAGTACAGAAGCCAAACAGCAGGGTTAAAGTTAAACTATAGTTTGTACCTGAGATGATTGCTACCATACTTCACTTAGAGCAGCGGTTCTCAACCTGTGGGTCGAGACCCCTTTGGGGGTCGAATGACCCTTTCATGGGGGTCGCCTAAGACCGTCGGAAAACACATATATAATTACATATTGTTTTTGTGATTAATCACTATGCTTTAATTATGTTCAATTTGTAACAATGAAATTGGGGGTCACCACAACAGAAAGAACTATATTAAAGGGTCGTGGCATTAGGAAGGTTGAGAACCACTGACTTAGAGTGAAATGCTTTCATATAAGAGTAAGAAATGCAGAAGCCCAGTCAAAATCTCATCCAAAAGTCTGAGCTCCACCTGTTTTATATGATCAGTTCCCCTGGCACTAATATCCTATTCAGTTAGATCCTATTATAGAGTACTAGAGGCCCGGTGCACTGGTGGGGCCCCTAGGCCTGGCCTGTGGGAATTGGGCCAAAACCAGCTCTCCGACATCCCCCGAGGGGTCCTGGATTGCCAGAGGGTGCAGGCCAGGCCAAGGGACCCCACTGGTGCATGATCGGGGCTGGGGAGGGACCCAGGAAGGGCTCTAGGGCATGTCCGGGTCCTCTTACCTAGTCTCTATCGGCCAGACCCCAGCAGCAAGCTAATCTACCAGTCGGAGCATCTGCCCCCTAGTGGTCAGTGTGCATCAAAGCGACTGATCGAACTGTTGAATGAACAGTCGGTACACTCAGCATATTAGGCTTTTATTTTATAGGATTGATTGTCAGAAGGAGTCTGCCTAGAATGGGATTGATGCTGTTGTCTGTACAGAGAATCCCAGACCCCCTGAATGGTCACGGGGCTGTAATAACTCTTAGGAGCCAGGATGTCTGCCGGGGTCCAGCCCCAGCGGTCCAGGGGTTTCCAAAGGTGTGGACGGCATTGGCGAAGAATGAAGGACATGGAGACACCATTCAGATGATCAGCATAGTCAGGTTCTTTTTTATTGTCCTGTTACAGCTGTATTTATACTATTTGATTCTATAAGCATGCCTCTATAGTTACATCATGGTATGTTTTGGGTCCTCCTTTGACCTTTTACAGTTCCTTGTTTTATGTTTATAGTTTCTTATCTGACCTTTGCTAAAAATCTTATCTCTATCTAGCTCTGTTGATTTTAATCTTATCTATTGTCTATGTTTCTACATTCTATTCTAAAGGTTAGTCTCTGTGTTCCATTATAAGGGCTAGTTTGTTGTTTCTATTCCAAGGTCACTATTCTACTGCTCTACTGTTAAGCTATAAGGAAATAACTGAAGGAGATTTTCCTATTCTATGGCCTAAGTAAAGGTTATGTAGCTTAAGTGTGATTGTTTGTAGTTATGATGATTAACTGCCTGCCTGGCACTTAGTTTAAGTCTTTCTGCTTGCATGGCTCGAATAAGATTTTTAGATAAGGAGCCTGCCTGCATTGTTTGCAGCAGTATTTCTTTTACTGTTTGATATTTGTCCTTTTAGCCTTGCTGGTGGTCTTCCTTGGGACTGCCCTGCATCGGCGGGTTTTTAGGGGTATAGGCCCTGGTAGGTAGACCCCTGGGGATGTGGGCCTAGCAAGTCCTAAATTTATTGCTAACAGTCTTAGTCTAAGTTCCTCATAAGTAGTACATGGTATTTCTGTAACACTATGGGGTTTTACTGATTTATTCCCTTCCCTAGTCCCGT